TAATTCAAATCGAAAAAAACACTATAATTTATCGATATTGGGTTATTTACTAAAAAAATGAAGGAATGAAATTTAGAAATGATAAATAACATAACAATAAACAGAAAATAAAAGTAAAGTTGTAGAAATTTTATCTATAGTTGGTAAAAAGAGAGAACCTGTAGAAATTGAAATGAAATAAACTTTGGCTCACATAGTTAAATTCACAAAGTAGTAAACTAATTTTTATAGATTTTTTATTTATCTACTTTTGATTGTTATTTCACCGCAGTTAATTTTTTTACAATTTTCGTTAATTTTTGATCTAATAGCATGAATAAGAGCAACAAAATGCAAGTTTTTATATACTAAATAAATGAATAAAATTTTGTGCAAAAATACTAACTTTACAAGTATGTTATCTCATAAATGAACACAATATCAAAAATAATTTTATAGATATCAAAATAAGTGATGCAACTTTATAGATAAAAAGAAGGCGGAATGACCTGGGAGGCCCTCATATTTGGCTTCGTTTGTAAGTTGAATCCTTGTACTTTTGACTTTGTCAGTTGAACCCTTAAACTCATTCAAATACAATATTTTAAACCCCTTTCTCATCAGATGTGTGTGCGTGTATTACACTCGTTTTACACATGAAATTCCACGTCATTTTTTAATGACACGTCAGTATTTTTTTTTTTTTCAATGACACATCATAAATTAAATATTTAAAAATAAATAATATTTTTTTAAAAGGTGCAATTTTTTTCTCTCTCACTATACTCATTTTCCATATTCCCTCGTCATCTTCTTCCTTCCCACCCTCTACCCTTCACCCAAAAATAAAAATCACCATTTTTCATCACTCAATTTTTTTTCTCAATGACCAAATGTGATAGATTATAATTAGCTCTTACACGTACTTTTGGGTTCTATTTATTAGATTTGGTAAAAAGATATATCAAGAAAACTTCAAATTGAAAGAAGAATAATATGTTTATAAGTAAATTCAAGCAATAGATCTTCAAAAATCAAGTTTTAAAAAAAGCTTTTTATTATGATTATGGTAATGGAGTGTATGTCAAAGAAGAAGAAAAGAAAAGGGGTAGGGGTAGGGGCGGGGGGTCTGGGGTTGAAAATAAGAGGAAAAAGGTGGGGCTGGGGGTTGGGCTGAAGAAGAATAAGAAGAGAGAAGGGGTGGGGGTGGCGATGGGTTGGGTGGGCGGAAGAAGGAGTTCTTGATTATTTTTTTAATTTATTATTATTGTTTTGTCTTATAATTCTGAGATTTTTAAAATAAAAAAATTGTATTCACTTGCTTCAAAACGCATGTGATCACGCGTATGTCAAGCTCATTCATTTTAATGCTACATAAGTTCGGTCAATGGTCAGAGGGGTTTAAAAAATAGAGTTTCATCATGTTTAAGGGTTCATTTGGCAAAGTAACGAGTATAAGGGTTCAACTGACAAATAGATACAAGTACATGGGTCTCTCAGGTCATTCCGCCTAAAAAGAAAAATCATGTTAGGAGGGGGGGGGGGGGGGAGGGGAGGGGGTGTTGATATGACCTAAAACTGAACTTATGTCTTACTGGCCATAATTATGTTTTGCAATTTTTTATTTATGTCATCGTGAATTTTCTTGCTCATTTTTTATTACTTAAAGTACTGAATGACCTAAATTTAAAATCACTTGGAGGGACAAAATTTAAATAGAAAAAATTACATAAACACACAACTTAAGATATCATAATCTCTAAAATTTCATACCATTTTAAAAAATTACAAAAATCTCCTTTCGGATACATCCATCCCCTCTTTGATACATCCCTATCTCCTCTCGGATACATCCTTCCCATTACGTAATGTATAATTTGTAATGTATCAGAGAATAATGAAAAATACGATTTTTTATAATTGAAGAAACTTCCGGAATAGGATGTAATTAAGCTCAAATGTATGAGATTTTTATACTTTATACATATAAATATCACCCTAAAATAAAAATATTCACTCAATATGGGTTGATTAATAAAATTAACCATTTTAAACTTAAATAAATTGGATAAATCATGATTTTATGGACTAATTTTATCATTTTTACAAAGATTAAGGAACCAAACAAGTGTTAAAAAGAATTAATGCCCTAATGTCTCAATAAGTTAATTCCCCCCCCCCCCCCCCCCGTCCTTGTAAAAAACAAAAGAAAAAAAATCATCTCTTTTGTGTGGATTTTCTCATCTCGTTTCGACTTCAGATGTCAATAGGGCGGGTTAGGGGCGGGGCGAGGCGGATAAGCCTTCGTTTAGCATTTTAAAAAAAATAATCTGCCCCTCCCCGCCCCGCCCCATTACAATAACAATGCAATACCCCAAACCCATCAAGTTACATGGATTTTTAGTTGTATCAACCTTGATAAATTTGAGAAACTCTAATATTGGTAACTATCGGAAAATTTAGTTATGTTGTATATATATATGTCAAATTCTATATTTAAAGGATATATATTTAAAGTTGGACATTCTTACTAAAAGCTACGCCTTTGACACAGTGGTGATGGATGTCCATTTGAATGAAAGAGTTTTGAATTCGAACCCAAATAACAAAGTTTTATTTGTTTGATAAAATTTCTGAAATTGCTAGTATGAATTGAAGGAGTAAACTTGAAATTTTGATTTTTTTTTTGTGCATGTAGCACACTTATTATTCCGTCATAACTGAAATGTAAAAAAATAACAAATCACACTTTAAATTACTACTATTAATTAAACACTAACTTACAAAACAACAAAATTCTAAAAATATTACTCCATTAATTTTAAGTGACGGTGACTATATAATAAAACCAAGAAATGGAATAAAATTCCAAATAGTACTTTAACACCTTGTTGGATGGTTGTTATATGTTGTATTATATATATATATATATATTGTATTGTTAGTTTAAATACAATGTTTGTTTTGATTGTTACTTAAATTATATTATATCATATCATTTAAATCTACTGTTAGGTAACGATAAAAAAACTCATTTTATGTAACGATCGATTTGGTGTGATCGTGTCATTATCTTACTATTTTCTCCTCATTTTATATTTATTTATTATTTAATAGTCATATTTCATCTTTTATCCAATCTTTTCATAGCATATCTACCTTGTATCCTACTTTTCTTGTAGGTTTATAACCATACAATCTATCCAAACATTAGTAAAATTTTTAGGAATCCCACAATGTAAGGAGCAAATTACATTTTATCCCTACTCTTTTCTAATTTACAAAAATCCCCTAAAATTATTGTCATTCGGATACATCATATTTGATACATTATACAACTAGTTTGTTGAGATTAAAAAGGAAATTAAATATAAAATTAAATGTCATTTCCCCAAATCATGCAAACCAAATTGATGTTAATCTCTCCCAAATAATTGCTCCAAAGAATTCAAATTTCAATTTTTCTTCTCTCAAATCTCTCCCAAATCGTAATAGATTAAAAAAAAATCGGCAATTTTATATAGTTATGTATCATATAAGAAAAACTATGAATATGATATACACTAATTTATTTATAAAACAATGTTGCAAATACTTAACAACATGTGTACATCACAACATCCGATACATAACTATGTTATATACATAACAAAGTTATGTATCATATACATAATTATGAATATGATACAAACTAATTTTATTATAAAACATTAGTGTTTATGTATCAATAGTAGTATTTGATAGTGTCTACAGATACATAACATTCTACTAGTTGAATAAGACTTGGTGTATGTATCAGTAGTAAAAGATAACGAAATTTGTAATAGTTGTGTATCCAATACATAATTATGAACATGATACATATTAATTTGTGTTTCAATAAATCAGGGTTATGTATTAAAACTAATATTTGAAAACGATATATTGTACATGATAAAATTATAATGCATCGTAAAGGTGAAACTAACGAATTATACATTAATTTAAGAATCAAAATGAACTATATATATATTTAAAGATATGTTGAAAGCAACAAAAAATTAAAAAAAATCAACAATTTGATCTGCTAAAAGAAAAAAAAAGATGAAGAAATCCTTCCACACTCTCTCCTTTCTCTGTATCAATTCTTGTAGTTTTTTTTCACTTTCAACAATGGCGTCACCCATGGATCTCGACCCAAAGTCCTTACTGGAGCCACCAACAACTCTTGATAAAATTGTAATGTATCATAATGTTGAAACGAATGTATTATACATTAATGTAAGAAAAGCAACAACTAGATACATTAAAAAACAGAACCCATATGTATCAGAAAAAGATAAACAAAAAATCGAGAAAAAAGTCAACAATCCGATCTGCTAAAAGCAAAAAAAAAAAAAGGACAAAGAAATCCTTCTACACTTTCTCTTTTGCTATATATCAACTCCCGTGACCTTTATTCATTTTCAATAATGACGTCATCAATGAATCTCGACCCAAAATCCTTATCGGAGCTACCAACAACTTGACCTTTTATTCCTTTTTTGGTTGTTTTTTCCACAATCAATTTTGAAATTGAAGATGCATCCATTTCGACTAAATTTGTAGATGAAAAAATTAAAAAAGTTTAATACATGATAAAGTGAAAAAAAAATAGATGAAGAAGAAGATGAAGAACTACCTCTTCAATAACTTGCAATTGATAAACATGAAAGAAAAAAAATTTAAAATTCAAAAATAGAGTGAGAGCGATAATTCGTGATACCATAGAGTTATCACTAATTATTTGTTGGGCTTTCTTCAGCCCAATTTTGAATGATTTGTTTTTTTAAGTTTGATATATTTTTTTTTAAAAAAAAGGAGCCGAAAAATTGAGGTTTTTTCAACTTTTTCATTCTTCACCAATTCTTCTCCTCTAGCTATCTCATCCTCCATTTTTAGACCTGTCCTAAAACAATAATTTGCCCTGCCCTACTCTACCCGCCCTATTGGGGTGTGTCCTGCTCCCCAACTAGCAGCTGGCTATTACTTTTTCTTGATTGATGGAACTCGATTTTCTCTCTGTACATATGCGTAATCCACCGTTTCTTCGAGGCATTTTTTCAAATTTTTATCAGGTGCCTAGAACTCGTTTGATAATATGTCCCAATGAACCTCAACTTGGTAAAGTTCCATTATTTACATCTATTCACTTTAACTGTTTCTCATGTGCTGCTGTAGTACAAGTAGTGGAAAGCCCAACAGTTGAAAAAAAACCAATCTTTCAAGATTTTGATGGGTGTAGGAGGTTGAGTACTAAAGAGTTGAAATATGGTGCTAAGAAGAGGTTGGTTGAAAAGGGTGATGGTGGGTTTTTGATTAAGGAGAAGAAAAGGGGGATTAAATGGTATTCTGAAATGCTTAAAGATTATGCTGCTAAGTTATGTTTGAAGGAAGGTAAAGCTTTACATGGTGAAATGATAAGGAGTGGGGTAGAACCAGATTCACATTTATGGGTTTCTTTGATTAATTTCTATTCGAAATGTGGGGATTTAGTTTTCGCGGAAAATGTGTTTGATTTAATTCCCAGCAGAGATGTTGTGTCGTGGACAGCGTTGATAGCAGGATTTATAGCTCAAGGGTATGGAAGTAAAGGGATTTGTTTATTTTGTGATATGAGGGGTGAAGATATTAGGCCTAATGAGTTCACTTTGGCAACAGTTTTAAAGGGTTGTTCAATGTGTTTAGATTTGGAGTTTGGGAAACAACTACATACTGTGGTTGTTAAAGGTGCAGTCTTTTCAGATGTTTATGTTGGTTCTGCTCTTGTTGATTTGTATGCTAAATGCTGTGAATTAGAATCTGCTGTTAAAGTTTTCTTTTCCATGCCGGAGCAGAATTCAGTATCGTGGAATGTTTTACTTAATGGCTATGTGCAGGCTGGCCAAGGAGAGGAGGCTCTGAAATTGTTTTCGAAGATGTCAGATTCAGAGATGAGGTTTAATAATTATACCCTATCTACTATTTTAAAGGGTTGTGCAAATTCAGGTAATCTGAAAGCTGGTCAAGTTATCCACTCAATCTTGGTCAAAATTGGGTCTGAAATTGATGATTTTACAAGCTGTAGTCTTCTAGATATGTATAACAAATGTGGTCTTCAAGATGATGCCCTGAAAGTGTTTTTAAGAACTAAAAATCATGACATTGTGGCATGGACTGCAATGATCAGTGGACTCGATCAGCAAGGACAGAAGAGAGAAGCTATTCAACTTTTTTGCTTGATGATGCATTCAGGTTTGAGACCTAATCAATTTACACTAGCTAGTGTTGTTAGTGCAGCGTCTGATTCGGTGGATTTAAGGTGTTGCAAAAGTATCCATGCTTGTGTTTACAAATTTGGTTTTGACTCGGAAGAGTGTGTCAGTAATGCATTGATTGCAATGTACATGAAATTTGGGTCAGTTTTGGATGGGTATCGTATATTTTCTTCTTTGAGTAATAGGGATATAATTTCGTGGAACTCCCTTTTGTCTGGATTCAATGATAATGAAACTTCTTATGAAGGGCCTAAAATCTTCAGGCAGTTGCTTGTTGAAGGTTTGAGGCCAAATATTTACACGCTCATCAGCAATTTGAGATCTTGTGCAAGCCTCTTAGATGCCAGTCTGGGGAAACAAGTGCATTCCCATGTAGTTAAAGCTAATCTTGGTGGCAATATATATATAGGAACTGCTCTGGTTGATATGTATGCCAAGTGTGGGAAGTTGGATGATGCAGAATTGATCTTTTATAGATTGAGTGAAAAAGACGTCTTCACTTGGACAGTGGTAATTTCAGGTTATGCGCAGTCTGATCAAGGAGAAAAGGCTTTTCGATGCTTCAATCAGATGCAAAGGGAATCTATTAAACCCAATGAGTTCACTCTTGCTAGCTGTCTAAAAGGTTGTTCACGTATAGCCAGCCTAGACAATGGGCGGCAGTTGCATTCCGTGGTAATGAAGTCTGGGCAGTTCAGTGATATGTATGTAGCTAGTGCGTTGATTGACATGTATGCAAAATCTGGATGTATCAAAGATGCCGAGTCTCTATTTCAGAGCATGGAATCTAGTGATACAGTGTTGTGGAACACAATTATATATGCCTACTCCCAACATGGACTTGATGAAAAAGCATTGAAAACATTTAGAACCATGTTAAGTGAAGGTATTCTGCCTGATGGGATTACCTTTATCGCTGTCCTCTCTGCATGCAGCCATCTGGGCCTGGTCAAAGAAGGACGAGAGCATTTTGACTCAATAAAAAATGGCTTTGGTATCACTCCTTCAATAGAACATTATGCTTGTATGGTTGATATCCTTGGCCGTGCAGGCAAATTTACTGAAATGGAACACTTCATTGAGGGTATGGCGCTTGCTCCTGATGCCTTGATATGGGAGACTGTTCTTGGAGTCTGCAAGGCTCATGGAAATGTGGAATTAGCTGAGAAAGCTGCAAACATACTTTTCGAAATTGATCCGAAAGCAGAGTCAAGTTATATATTGTTGTCCAATATATATGCATCAAAAGGTAGGTGGGCTGATGTTTCGACGGTTAGAGCACTAATGTCCAGGCAGGGTGTCAAAAAGGAACCTGGTTGTAGCTGGATTGAGATTGATAATCAAGTTCATGTCTTCTTATCTCAGGATGCTTCACATCCTAGGTTAAAGGATATCCATAAAAAGTTGGAGGAGCTGGCTTCGAGAATTACTGCCGCAGGATATATTCCGAACACAAACTATGTGCTTCATAATGTCTCTGACAAAGAAAAGATAGACAACCTTTCACATCATAGTGAAAGGCTAGCTCTCGCATTTGCTCTCATGAGCAGCAGTAGGAATAGCACTATCAGGATCTTTAAAAATCTTTGCATCTGTGGAGATTGCCATGAATTTATGAAGCTGGCGTCAATTGTTACAAACCGAGAAATAGTTATTCGTGATATTAACCGCTTCCACCATTTCTCTCATGGAACGTGCTCATGTAAGGACTATTGGTGATTATTGACTGGCTGACCTTGTCAGGCAAGACTATTCATGTTCCGCAGCTGCAACAAATCAATAGTGCTCAACTGAAGTTCTAAAATGCATGCTATGATATGTCAATATGAATATATTATTGAGGCAACAACTAATGAGGTATTTATCAAGCTTTAGTAGCTCTTGCACTTTACCCCACTTTGTGGGACTACACTGGATATGTTGTTGTTGTAGCTCTTGCACTATTATGCAGAGTATAAATGTAAGAAAAAGATCTTAGATCTATAGTCATCTTTTTCTGTATGGGTGTTGTGGTTACTCTTATACTCATCTTGTCTTTGTTATTATTTCCTTCTTTTTTCAGTTTAGTCTGAAAGATGCATTGACTTTGACTTGATTTTGCAGTTAATCACCAATCTACAGTGAAGTAAGCATTCAATTGTGAGAGTTTTGTTATTCTTTTGTTCCTGTATAATATGTGGTTTCTCATACTCCTCTTTTGAGCCGATGTTCTATCGTAAACAGCCTCCTTACTCCTCTATTGGGTTTGTTAATGTTGCTTGTTATATAATATGCGGTGATATTATGTTTTCCTCAGTTTCGTAATATGGGCTGTCCATTCCAATTCGTCCTAGGAAATTGAATTTTTCTTTTGTTTGCTGGAAGTATCAAGCTGTTTTCGCTAAGTACCTTTTTTTAACTTTTGAAGTGACCAAAGTTCCTTGATCCAGAAAAACTTTGAAACTTCTATCTAGCATATCTTTACATTTGTTTGATTGAGTTTCTGCCAAGGTTAATGTTTTCCTTGGAAGATCTTTCTAATTTGAACAGAACTTTTTTTATTACCTACAGGACTAATAGCTGGATTGATAAGTTGCCTGAAGGGAAGGTCAATCGATTTCTGAGCACTGAAACTAGGTGTGCCGAAGCTCCGATAAACTTGCTCCAGAAGGTGAAGAAACTGCTCAAGTAAATCAGCGGTACTCACTTTTCCCTTTTCTCCTGTTCCATGTTTAAGCTATACTCCACTCATTTTGGTAGCTGCAGTAATAACTGTTATCCGACCATTTTCTGTCATCCACATTGTTTATTATATGAAATGTCTCTTAATAAAGTTCTTTTTCCATCAGAAGGATGAAAAAAAGACTTAACTGATATTTCTATATCATGAATTTTGGAAAAGGATATCATGATATCCAATTTGTAAGCTTAAGGCTAGTTGTTTGGCTAACCTTTTTAGCTGGGCTAACTCTTTCCTTGTAAATAACTTAGATCACTACCTGGATTTTGTCGGCTCCTTAGCTCTATAAATTTATTGTTCTTACTGAGCTAACAGATCCCCTTTTACATCTTTGCATCTACTGCATGCCTTAATGAAATCTCACTTCATCAAAAAAAGAAATTTGGAGAAGAATATCTCCAGTAGTGAACGAACTCCTAACTAAATATTACACAATATTTGCCTAATCATGACTTTGAAATACTGCAATTTGACAATTCATAAATAATAATGCTTTCGATTATATTCAAAAGATGAAAAAGAGAGTTCCTGCTCCCTTTTCTTATAGACTTGTAGAGCTAAACGTGCATTCACCTCTTCTTAACCTGAAATGGCTGAAAAGGTAATTGGATCATGGAAAAAATCCACCCAATGCCCTTTTCATGTATGGTTACGTGATGCCATAAAGGGTATCCTATATCATCTCATATTGTCTTGACAGAAATTAGGATGAGCTTGATGATAAAAAAGATGAAAATAGAATGAGCTTTAATAAATATTAGAATAATAGGTAGAATTAAGGACCAGGTGGTGAAGGGCCAACATAACCCAGTTCATACTTCAGCATATTAAAATAACAAAAGAGAAGCAGTTTATTAAACTTCTAAACTCAACGATGGCAACTAAACACAAGTGTAACCCTGTTAGGAATAAACAAATTGTATCCTAGTAAAACATGTATTTTTAAATAGTTTCAAACTATTCTAACATAAATTGGTTTCATCCCTAATTGAAAAAAAAAAAACTATTCTAACATTAGATTCAAACTATAGTTGCATCAACTATGGAGTAGAAAGGAACTGTATACAAAATATGGAACAGGAAGGTAGTTCTTCATATTACATTAACTAGAAAAAGAAAAAAAAAGCAAGAGTTGAAAATCAAGTTTTATTAACTTAACAGAAACCTCATCCTAAGTCCTAAGAAAAGAAGTCTTCACTTGATAACCCAGCTTCCTTTGGTCCACTGACCAAAGATAAAAAATCCATAAAGATTGGCTAATACTTACACAACAACATACCTAGTGTAATACCGCAAGTGGAGTCTGAGGAGGGTGGTGTGTACACAGCCTTACCCCTACCTAGAGAAGGTAGAGAGACCGTTTTCGATAGACCCTCGACTCAAGTAAAACATATAAAAAATTAAGTATGTAAAACAAATACAGTAGTGAAGAAGTCATACTGAAAACAATGGAGGAAGAGATCAGTAGCAACAAGATTGGTCAATACTTGTCAAAAAAAAAAAAAAAAGAAGAACAAAGATTGGCTAATGAACACTCAACTACTAGTAAAGAGGATCCTTGTACATCTGTAAATTACCAAATTCCGTCAAATTTTATGTGGGCTGATATGATTGGTGGTACTAGTTGAATATAAGCTGTGCACTGTTCAATGCAGAAAAAGCCATGCAAATTAATGGGCATAAGAAAAGATAATGGCCATACTGCATAAACTCCTTGCCATATATTTTTGTCTTGAACTCCATAGGGAAACCTTTTAAGATCAGATCATGCATGTTTTATCATCAAATCTTGAAATGAGACAATGTAAATTAATTATCCAATATAAGTTTTCCATCTTTTCCTCACAAAATAGATTCTTACGATCAAAAAGAGAATCTGACCGATGAACTTTCCGTGCTAAGGCACCAGCATTGTCTCAGATTTAAGTAAGTTATGTGGAGTGAGTAATTACTCTTTCCATGACAATCATGTTAGGACTTTTGATAAATAGATACAATTTTATTTCTTTTAACCACTTATACATCTCGAACTAAAAGCCATTGATGTCTTGATGAGCTGTACTTGCACATGGAGCTGCTGCCTTCAATATAGATCTGCCCATGCTCAAATGCCTAGGAATTAGACTTTGTACTGAGAAAAGTGAGGGACATAACCTACCCAGGACATGCTGCTTCTGTCACTTTAAAATTTGTAAATGTTGTTTTTCTATGCCTGCAAGAACTTGCTACTATACTAATTATGATTGATATGAGCTTGTGTGCTTTAACAAACACTACTTTCCCCAAAACAAATTTCCATTGAAATCTGTGCTTTGATTTCATTGTTTAAATTACATTTTGTGCATTTCCTTTTTTTCTTTTTTCTGTTCACAGGCTTACACACCATTTATGAAGGTAATTATACAGAGGAACAACAGAAAGAGCATATCCTTAGGTTTCTCACATTAATAAGGAGGAAACGAGACAACCCTATCGTGGCAAGGTTTCTTCCTAGTAAATATGTTTTCTCAGAACTCAGGTTAATTGACTGTTATTATATTACTCTTCTGCAGAAGGTTAAATGCGTTGTCTCAGAAAAGATCATCTCAGACTGGTATGTGAGGTGTTCAAAATACACTTAATCCGGAAATAATAGAGTTGTCTAACAAAAAACGTGTGGAGTAAATAGGTGAATTTCGTTGAGTTCTATGCCATATGTTGAATGTTTGACCAAGTACATTATAATTATCAATACATAATTAATCTGGATGATGCAACATAAGGTTGTAAAATGACTTCATCACCTCTTCTTCTACTCTGATTAGTGTTCATCTTTTTCCCGTTTTCTTCCTACTGTTTCTCCACCCTGAACTTCTTCATTTATTCTTCTCCAACTACTGATGCAAACTCTTTTTTCTGGTTATTTGCCTCTATTTTTCATTGTTTTTTTTTATCGAGGTTTGTATTTTGATTTATAGGAGGTTCAAAGTTCCGTATCACACAGGATCTACTCAGATGCATGGGACTGCAGTAAAGCCTCCGGGAAAGAAGAGCAAGAGCAAAAGGATAGGCTGACGTGCCTCGCAAAGTAAGTTTGTTGTGCTTGATGGTAGTCAGAGAATAGGCAAGATGGAAGAAATATCACCTCAAATGTAACACTGATGGGATCTGATCTACTGAATAGCTTCTAACAAGCTGGGAAACAAGGGATAAAATTTCAACAGGAGTTGGAAAATGTAGGTTTGAAAAACGATACAATTGAGCCACTCCGCCTAGGGACTGCATTGAACCTTCCAGGATGGTTGAACCATTGCATTATTAGGTGCCAAACCAGTAGCCCTGCTGTTGCACCTCACCAGAAGGCCAAGAGAGAGTCCCTCTTGCTTATCCCCATTTATCTCGTATGAAATCCTATCGTCTTCTTTAAGCATGCTGAGTAACCATGGTTTAAATAATACTTGTTTGAGTTTATCATGTTCTCTTAAATGAGTAAACATCAGTTTATCTTGATGCAGCAATGTTGCTTAAAATGTTGTGAATCTCAGACGTTGGCAAAAGGCAATTCCAATGCAACAGTGTATAACTATTGAGTTTTTAACACATCTAACAAAGTTTGATCTTTTTCTCTTTATTGGCATTTTCACCTTCTTATGCATTGTTCTTTTGGATCCTTTTCGCCATTATCACCGCGATGGGCATTGTTTAACTGGATTACACAAGCATATGTTACAAATTTTCTGGGCTGATTTTGTTGATGAAGAAATATCACTGTTTCTCTAGGCTCAACAGTGGCATGATTTTCAAATTCTCAAGATTAAACTCATTGTATTTCTTAAATTATGGGCTTAGATATGATCTTTGTAAAAAAAAAAAGAAATAATATTTCACATTGAAACTATACATGTTGTGAATTTTACCAATTCCTCTAGGAGAATCTTCTTCAAATGGGGGTCATGACCCATGCAAGGGTTAAGTTATTTTAAAAAGGACGATAACAATAACAATATATCTAGTGTGATTTCATAAAGTGTGGTTTAAAGAGGATGAGATGAGTGTACACAAATCTACTCTCGTCTTAACTTCTCATATATAAATTTCTGACTTCGCAATCGATACTAGCCTCTGTTTAATGACTTGTTTTAGAGTAGTAATACAAAATGGTATCTTTAAGCTATTTGGATAGTTAAAAGGGTATTTTTGAGTAAAACTAACCTATTTCAAATAATTCCAAAGATATATTTTACCTTTTCTAAAAGATGTGCACCAATGCAACTTGTCATTTGGAGAGCAATTCACCATTTTGATGCATTCATTTTTATCCATTTTTTAACTAACAATGAAAGAGAGGATAAAAAAAATTATTTAGAATTGTTCCTAGAACACTTTTCCTAACTTAGCTTGATATAAAAGCACCTCTTCAAAATTAATATCCCTTGGTCCCATACTTTGGTCAACCAACTATAATAATTCAGAATAAATGCCAACCAAATTAATAGCCCTTGAACATAAATATCGAATAACTTTGTTCTATCAAAGACTTTAGGCAAAAAGAAGTAGAATAACAACCAACATCACCCCTACACAGGATGACATGAACAAATCGAGAACTGGTCCAAATCAAGTGTAGAATTTAAAGAGTTATCGTTCATTTCACTCCAAATGAACGAAACTCTCCTCCATTCTTCGTTAACAAAGATGATAAAACTGCAGGAGTTCCTTTGTTCAACAATAAGAAAACAGGAAATGCTAGAGACAAAGGATGAAAACACCAAGGCCAAAGATGATTCAGACAGCAAAAGAAGCAATCGACGATGATTTGGATAGCACAAGAACCAGATCCATTAATAAAACAGCAGCAAGCATAGACAAAAGTTTAGAAAACGAAAAGTAGAAGGGGTACAATTGTGAGGTACGAGGAGAAGCCTCTTCAGGCATTCAACCCTTTTACATTTTAATTCCCAACGTGACAACACAGCGGTACAATTTCGCACATAGTTGACAAGACCTATATGTTATTGCCCTTAACACTAGAAACAGGTGCCTTCGGGGGGCTGAACTAGCTTACGGTTGTGGGGAGAAGCCATTTCCTTTTTCAGTTGAGTCAGTATGTCTTCCATAGTGTACTCTCGCTGCCAATTTGCAAGCAAAACAAACTTTTTTGGTTCCACCTGCACAAATGATACGATGGAGCGAATTGTCAACTTTATTGATTTACTGATTGAAAACACAGGTATGCCACTATAAACAACAATGAAAACATATTACATTAGGACAGTATACAATGCGTCACAAACAAATATTATTGTAGAATTTGTAAGCATCTTTACATATGGCGAATCCTAAGCACCCTTTTGCTGGTGGTTTCATATTTCTCTACAGTTTAAACTTTCAGCTAATCATACGAATCCCGTTTACTGGAGAAATAGAATGTTATCCAACATCTAAAGCTACAGACACAAAAAAGTTGTCGGAACATAACATGGTAGCATCATGCATTTAGGAGAAAGGTCATCTCGAGAGAACATTGAGAATTTAGGGAGCAAAAATACCATTGAAACTAATTTGAAATATTCAACAATAAGAGCCACATCTACCTACTACTACTCAGACTACTAAACTTTTTTGATACAGACTTTGTCCGCATTTCAAGAAGCATCTCTTTATTCCAGGGAATAAAGCATTTCATTAGTACTCCTGTTAGATACGAATCCTATGAGGGTATCTGGTGTTGCTCCATTTTTGTTTTTACAAGTGCCATTTTACATGTAATGCCATTATAAATATACTTGCAGTGTTGAACTTCATGGAGGACAAAAGTTTGGATAGTTTAAATCATTTTTTTAGTATATGAGCAACAATTCTGAAGATGCAAATTGTCACATAATAATTCCTTGATAAAAAAAATATGATTCTAGCATTATAGTAATGTATTGCTCACCACTCCGGTTTCATGGTTGACACACGTCATGTTAACTCGAGAGTGGAAACGGACACTTGGTGGCTTCTCCGGATAATCCTTGTCGCAGAATAGCTTCAACTGATAAATGCGGCCTTCGTGCACAGACTGGAAAAGAAGTAAGTTAGTCTTTAAATGTGAAAGACATAGGAACCATCAAATTGCATAAAGTAATACTCGTAGGACTAGTGGACAAACAAATCTGTAGTCCAGGAAATTCATCAACCCACTAGCACAGGTTAACAGTCTAACAAACGAAGGGAGTATATAAAATTCTAAGTAGAAAAGTGGCAGTTCATGTCTTCATACATTCCTCTGTGAAACATAGCTAAGTGGATTTCATGCTAAAGGGTCATATTGAAGAAATGATTGAATAAGTAGAAACAATTTCTAGGATTAGCATTTCATGTTATTTGTTATATCCAAACAAAGAGATGGTAGGAAGTAAAAAAGAGAAAAGAAGCCGTACATTGTGAGGACCAATAATGGTGCCAGTCCAAGAACGCATATAAATATCATCTCCATCATCCATACCATAGCTCACTGTCCCATCTCCAATACCCTTCTCCCCACGTTCAAGTTCCTCCAGTAATCTGAAATTGCGAGGGACTGCAAGGAAATTGAAATTTTGGTTAGTGAAATCTTCAAAAAGAAAAAAAGACCAGAGTTGGGTAAAAGCTTCAAACTCCAAACAAGATTGTAGAATCTAAATGGAAACAAGAACAATGACATTGTTACGCATTTTACTCCAAAGTAAAAAGATTATAGTAAAAAATCCCAGGTGCATTAAGTAAAGAACCCATTCCCACATGAACTAGCACATCAAACAGTCAATGGTATGCTGACTTTAGGTCTACTGGTTGCTGGGAGTCTTTTGATCTTGTATAAGTTTTATAAGCCAGTAGAAATATAGAGAACTTCTGGTTTTTGAGAACCTAAATTACTGAATATTGGTGTGAGATGGATCAAAATGGAGTGACATGGATAGTGAGGATTCATATAGCCAATTGCAACTAGCTTGGGATTGAGGCATAGTGGTTGTTGTTTACGTAAAAAACGGTCAGTGACCACCATGATACAGCAAAAGGGACAGTGGTTTGTGCAACTATTGAAGCTTTGGAAATTAAGTTAGTCCTGCAACTCCCCTATCTGCACATGGATGGGCAGAGAAGCACAAATCATCATCATCTTCTTCAAACTGAGCATTAGTTCTAATTCACAGTTCCATGATATAAAGAAAGGCAGAACAGAGATGTGTAACCCATATTTCCCAAAAGAGCAGTCAAGCCAAGTTGCAGTATATTGACCAGAAACTCTAAAAACTACAACCAACATATGACGACAAATAGGGATTAGGATACAAGCAAATTACATGCTATAGTAACAACATTAATTTCCACCAAACTGCAAGGCATAAACCCTCATGTACTTGGATATATGAAACCAAAGAAATACTCATCACTGTCTTTCATTTAAGGCATGAGATCTGGAAGACCATATAAATAGCTTGGGTATTCTCAATAGAATGAAAACTCTCTGAAACACAACTTTCCAAACCATAACATCTACCTCCATATTCAAGAATCTAAAGCCCAAAAAAGGATTTAAAAAACTCATCTTGATGACACAATTATTGTCATAGGTCTTTCGGAAACAACCTCTCTACCTCCACGAGGTAGTGGTAAGGTCTGGGTACACTCTACCCTCCCCAAGACCCCACCACTGGGTATGCTGTTGTTGTAATTGCCTGCAGCAAATTTGAAAACAAGCAAAAACAAAAAAGAACACACAGCCAGAACTACTTCCTAGCTAATCCAAATTAGAAAATCCCAGATAATAACCAAGTGAAAAGTCGTTATTGGCAAGAATTGAGACATTGATTAAACTCCCACAAGCCAAAGAACTCATCAAATACATTGATTGAACTTCACATTAAAAAATCTAAACCCCTGCCTTTCAAAAACCTCTCTACCTCCACGAGGCAGTGGTAAGGTCAGCTTACACACTCTACCCTCCCCATACCCAACTTGTGGAATTTCACTGGTTATGTTGATGTTGTAATTGACTACAACAAATTTGAAACCAAGCAAAAACAAAAAAGAACACACAACCAGAACTACTTCCTAGCTAATCCAAATTAGAAAATCCCAGATAATAACCAAATGAAAAGTCGTAATCAGCAAGAGCTGAGACATTGATTAAACTCCCACAAGCCAAAGAACACATCAATTACATTGATTGAACTTCACATCCAAAAATCTAAACCCCCAAAAGGGATTTAAAAAAACACCATCTTAATGACACAATTATTGTCAAAGGGTCCATTGGAAACAACCTTTCTACCTCCACGAGTAGTGGTAAAGTCGATGTACACACTTCTACCCTCCACATACCCACTTGTGGAATTTCATTGGATAAGTTGTTGAAATTAACAGCAGCAAATTTGAAAACAAGCAAAAACAAAACCGAACACACAACCGGAACTACTTCCTAGCTAATCCAAATTAGAAAAGCCCAAATTAAACTCCCACAAGCCAAAGAACACATCAAATACATTGATTGAACTCCACATTCATAAATCTAAACCCCCGAAGGAATAATACATTGATTGAACTCCACATTCATGAATCTAAACCCCCAAAAGGGATATAAAAAAAAACTCATCTTGATGATACAATTATTGTCAAATTTGCAAAATAATTGACCCCATCAAACTTGCTATCTAATCCAAATCAATTGATAAGGCAGTTCCTCAGTGATAACAACTATACAAAAAGTCTTAATCAACAAGAACTAAGACATTGATTAAAACCAACAAGCCAATAAACACATCAAATACAAAACATGCATAATAAAACACAAACAAATCGACCCAGAACCAGATTTGAAGGGAAAATCAAGAAAATCATAACAAAGATCAAAAAAAGAAACAAAAGGGGTTATGGGGTTTTCAAAAAATTAACTCACCCACAACACTAGATCCTCCTGAACCAAGCGTCATGGCTGATTGATGCTTCAGATGATTCTTTGGGGTTTATACAAATATCGATTTGATCGACAAAAAGAAGAAAAAAAATAAAATACTGAGATTCTTGAAAAATCGAATGGAGGGTTCAAGAGAGGCAGAAGGGAATAGAAGGGGCAAAAGTATAGAGGGGATAAAATAGATATATGATTGGTAGTGGGTCGGAAAATGCAATTGCACAAAAGATCTCACAATTTCCGAGTATTCTTGGCATAATTGATAAAGTTATAATCGTGGTTTAATTCATAAAAATAGTCCGTTGCACAAATACAAAGGTTTATGATTGTGTATAATAACTCTTTGTGGTTCGGCTTTTTTCATGACTCTATGTATAGCAAAAGCTTTAGTGCATCAAATTTGTCGCCTTTTTACTCCATTCGTCACGAAATACTTGTTATATTTTGTTTTTCGAAATGTAGTTTGATTAATCTTCAAATACTGAATTAGATTAATTTAATATTTTGAAATTAAAATTTAGGTATATGATTGGTAGTTGGTAGGAAAATGCAATTGTCTAAAAGATCTCACAATTTTCAAGAACAAAGCATTGACGTAGCTGGTAAAATTATATTCATGGTTTAAGTCGTGAAAGTAGTCTGTTGCAGAAATACATGGAGTACGGTTGTGTTTAATAACTCTTTGTGGTTCAGCTTTTTTCTGAACCCCAAACATAGCAAAAACTTTAGTGCATCGGACTTGTCACCTTTTTTACTCCATTCATCTCAAAATACTTGTTATGATTTGCTTTTTGAAAGTCAATTTGATCAATCTTCAAAGCTAAATTGAATTAGATTAATTTGAGTTTAAATATCCAAAAAAATACAAGAAATAGTACTATAAGATGTGAATCTTTCATATTAATATGATATAAAAAATATGCATCTTCAAATATTAATAAAAATTTAAATAATTTAACCCTTGAAAAGAAAGTATGATAAAGTAATTTAAGACGGAAAGAGTGATAAAAAAGATAAAGGATAAAAAATCAATCTAAAAAGATGCATACAAAGAATATAAAAGGCATAAAGAGTGGAGATAACTTTCTTGAAAATCATGAAGAAAAAAAGTCTTGGAAAGAGAAGATAGTAAAAAATGGAATATAAAAAGTTGTTCCAAATGGAATAGGATATCATCTAAAGGCAATAAAATCAAACAATATGAATTGGAATGTGTTAAAAAAGCATATTGCATTATTGCTTGGCAAAGAAATGACAAGACATGCAAATAATAACAGAATTGATTCATGAATTGTCTATTTAGGCTTAAGTCATGTCCAACCCCTTAAAGTTGTCCGCATAATTCAATTAGACACTTCAACTAAGACTTGTATCTATTGAACATCTCTACCCTTCCGAATTTGAACCATTTAAATATTTTTTTATAATAAACTAAAAATATAGTGTGTGAAATACATACGCGATGACATGGCATTTCAACGAATTAAATAACGACATCTATTTTTTTTAGTCCAAAAGATTATTAAAAAAGCATTATAAAGTAAATGAAAAAGGATTTATTTTTAAGTAGCAAATAAAAGAAAAAATAAAGGTTGTAACCCACCCCTGTTATCCCATCGGAGCCAAAACGTAACCCAACTTTTCCTCGGCGGTGCTACCCACGACACGGCAAACCACCCATGTTATATTGTTTTTAAACATTTTTGATACTTCTACAATAGAGAATCAAAAGAAGAAGCAAAAGTACTGAAAAATTTATGGCTATTTTTGATGGGTTGGGGAGGAATTGAGTCAATTCCTCCAACACGTTATTTTTTGTCAATCTCTTAAATAATCAAAACTAATTGTAACTTTCTTCTTCGTTCCATTTTTGGTACAAGAAAAATGAATTCTATCGGAAAATTAATAAGTTCTTATCGACATTGTTAGAAAAAATGGAGTTTCATTGAATTTCTTTGTTAGATTTATAACTGATTTTTTTTAATTGAAGAACACCTTACATTTACATAAAATTTATATTGATTTAAAGAAACAAATTTCAAACTTCAATCCTCTACAAATTAAATGATGAAAATGACAGTAATGATGGCAGCCATGGCGGTGGGCAGGTGGCAATGACGATGATGTCAATCTTAATATGAATGACAATGGGGGCAAAAGTTAAAAGGAGCAACGATGGAGGTAAACGAATGAAAATATCTAGAGGAAAAAAAGAAAGAACAATGTATGGCCGGCGGCAGCAAACTGGTGTAAGAGTAACAAATAGAAAAGAGGTAAGGAAAAAGAAAAAGTATTTTTTTCCCACAAAAACGCCTAATTAAATACCTTCACGCGCCTATCTGAAGTGAATCACAAACAAGGTGCCATGTAGGCAAAAAATGTTTATACGGTTCAAATTCGGAAGGGTAGAGGTGTTCAATAGGTGCAAGTCTTAGTTGAGGTGTCTAAGTGAATTATGCAGACAACTTTAAGGGGCCGTACATGACTTAAGGCGTCTATTTAAGTTTTGATTGATATACATGTATCATTCCATTTAACATATGTGATATTCAATGAACTTATTAAGTGATGTAAGTTATGATAGGATTATTTTTTATTGAGTGTTTGATTTGTTATATTCAAAATAATAAATTTAAAAACAATTTATTTGTTTACAAAAATGCCCTTCATGAATGTAAAAAGTGATGTAACAAAAGGGTTGAAAGAGACATTTTTGTAATTTACTTATTTTATCTCGGGATAAGTTATCCCGAGATTACTATACCACCCAAAGGGAGGGATAACTTATCCCGGTACTAATTATTAATCTCGGGATAAGTTATCCCGGACTTGCCAACCAAACAACAAATTAAGTGGTACAATAATTTAATCCCAGGACTATTTGGTATTATCCTTCACACCAAACGACCCCTAAGTTCATAAGTCATAACCAAACAAAGAAAAAAGGGGAAACTTTTAAAAATGACTATAATTTGGGCTTAATTGGAGATTTATAATTATAGTTTGCTTAGTTAGAATTATAGCTATATGTTTGGGGGATGAGAGATATGAGCGAGATCTGGTGAGAGAAGAGAGAGGCGAGAGAGGTTGAAAACCTGTTGTATTTGTTGTATCATGCTGTATCACGAATAAAATTGATACAAACACAATTGTATCAAAGTGAATATAATTATACAATATGTATCATCCTCTCTCCTCCCTCTCTTGATCTCACTCGCCTCTCTTCTCTCTCTTGATATCACTCGTCTCTCTCCTCCTAATATGTAGCTAAATATAATTGTTTAAAACAATTATATTTAGCTACATATTAGGAGGAGAGAGACGAGTGATATCAAGAGAGAGAAGAGAGGCGAGTGAGATCAAGAGAGGGAGGAGAGAGGATGATACATATTGTATTCATTATATCACAAATATAATTGACACGTAATAAAAATACACTTGATACAAAATACAAATATAGTTGGTTGAATACAATTGATATAAAATACAAATCTCTTAATTATATTTGATTAAATACAATTGATACACAATACATTTGATAGAGAGGATGAATGCATATATTGTATTCATTATATCAAGTTTTATGACAAATACAACTGATTTGTATCAGATCAGATACAATTGTATTAACGAACACATTTTGTATTGACAAATAGAATTGACAGAATACAAATTTTCATAATACAATTAATACATAATACGGTGGATTCATAATACAAGTACAATTGATATGGAATACAAATACATTTGATACATAATACAAAATACAATTGTTATATTATGTGGAATGTTTTTTTATGTTGCACTTGTTTGAGATGGAGAGAGAGATTGGGGGGGGGGGGGGGGCAGTGGGAGGAGAGAAGCAATGGAGAGAGGAAAGAGAAATTTGATATGAAACCCTACCTATAACTACGAATTGTAATTATTTAAATTATAGTGGTTTATCATATATCCATATGCCTTGTTGTGTAATTTAACCTTAAAAATAAATATAGTTTGGGCTTAATTAGGGATCTATATTGATAGCTTACTTAGTTGTGAATTGTAGCTGCATGTTTGGGGAGTAGAGAAACGAGCGAGACTAGGAGAGGGAGGAGAAAGACGAGCAAGATTAAAAGAGTGAGGAGAGATGCGAGCGAAATCTAGGAGAAAGAGGAGAGAGGTTGAATACATGTTGTATTTGTTGTACTAGGTTGTATATTTAAATATAATTGATACAACTGTTTGCATCAAGATGACTATAATATAATTATATCAAAATTATTGTATTTATCTACTTATTAGGAGGAGAGAGGCGAGTGAGATCGAGAGAGGGAGGAGAGAGGATGAATATATGTTGTATTAGTTGTATCATGAATACAAATACAGTTGATACAAAATACAAATATAGTTGTCTGAATACACTTGATATAAAATACAAATCTCTCACTTATATTTGATTGAATACAATTGATACATAATACATTTGGCTGAGAAGATGAATGCATATTGTATTCGTTGTATCAAGTTTGATCACAAACACAATTGACTTGTATCATATACCAAATATAATTGTATCAGTTGTATTAATAAATAAATTTGTATCAGCGAATACAATTGATATAAAATACTTATATATTTGATACATAATACAAATACAGTTGATATGAAATACAAATACAGTTGATATGAAATACAAATACATTTGATATAAACTACAATTGTCATATTATGTGAAATGTTTTTTTATCTTATAGTTGTTTGGATGGAGCGAGAGGGGGGAGAGGGCAGTGGGAGGAGAGAGGAGGAGGACATAGATTTTTTTTTATAAAATCCTACATATAGCTACAAATTGTAATTATTTAAATTAGGGAAAAGGGTTTGATATACCCCTCAACTTTGCCATTTGGAGCTGATATGCCCCTTGTTATCAAAGTGGCTCATATATATCCTTACCGTTATACAAACGGCTCACATATACCCCTACCGTTACAAAATAAGCTCACATATACCCTTCATTTAACGAAAGTGAAAAAATTAGTTTTAAATTTATATTTTTGACTTTTAATTTTTTCAAAAGTTATTGAGAAGTATATATGATTCTTCTAGCAAAGTTCAAA